TGAGACTGCCATGAATATTTGTGTACAGGTTTTTGTCTGAATGTAAGTTTTTATTTCTCTGGGGTATATGCCCAAGAGTGTAATTTCTGAGGCGCTTGTAAGTACATGTTTACTTTTATAAGAAACTGCTAAACCTTTTTTCAGAGTAGAGGTACCATTTTATATTTCCACTAGTGATGTTTGAGTGATCTTGTTTCTCTGCATCCTTGGCAACATTTGGTATTATCACTATTTTGTGATTTGATCATTCTGATAGGTGTGTATTGATAGCTCATTGTGGTTTTAATTTTCATTTCCCTGATGGCTGTGATGCTGAACATCTTTTCATGTGCTTATTTTCCATCTGTATCTTTTCTTCATTGAAATGTCTATTCAGGTCTGCTGTCTAATTTTCTAATTGGATAATTAGTCTTTTTACTGTTGAGTTTTGAGAGTTCTTTATATATTGTAGATACAAGTTCTTTGCTGGATATATGGTTTGCAGATATTTTTTTTCAGTCTGTAATTTAGGTTTTCATCCTTATAAAGGGTTTTTCACAGAGCCAAATTTATTATTTAAATTTTTCCTTTTATGGATTGTGCTTTTGTTGTTAAGAACCCCTCTGTATCTATAGGTCCTAAAGACTTTCTTCTTTGTTTTTTTGCTATGCTTTTTTCCTTCTAACATTTTACATTTAAGTTCATAAGCCATTTTGAGCCAATTTTTTATATAAGATGTGAGGTTCACATTGAGATCCATCCTTCCTTCCTTCCTTCCTTCCTTCCTTCCTTCCTTCCTTCCTTCCTTCCTTTCTTTCTTTCTTCCTCCCTCCCTCCCTCCCTCCCTCCCTCTCTCTCTCTCTCTCTCTCCCTCTCTCCCTCTCTCCCTCTCTCTCTCTCTCTCTCCCTCTCTCCCTCTCTCCCTCCCTCCCTCTCTCTCTCTCTTTCTTTCTTCTGCCTGTGGATGTGCAGTTGCTCCAGCTCTATTTGTTGGAAAGAAACTGCATCCTTTTTAATACTATAAAATGACCTTCTTTTTCTAGTTTAAAGCTTTTTTTGGTGGGGGTGTAGTCTTGAATTCAGTCTTGTGGCATATTAAGATCACAACCTTTATTTTGTGTGTATTTGCCTACTATATTTTTTTGCCCATTGTTTTATTTTCAACCTTCAAAAACAGTTTTAGGTGTCAGTTTACATTATAGGGTTGGTTTTTATTTTATGATCCAGTCTGAAAGTCTTTTTCTTTTGCTCTAGTGAGTTTAGCTCATTTACATTCATTGAGATGAAAGATGTTGGTCTAAGTTTTGAAACTAATTTTCTATTTTGCTTTTGGTTTTTATACCTTAAATAGAAAATCTCTAGCTATGTGGTATGTTTACTTTGCTTTGGCCCAGTTATTTGTAAGAGGTTTATGTGAGAGTATAGAGGCAAGTCTTCCTACATCAGTTTACATTATAGGGTTGGTTTTTATTTTATGATCCAGTCTGAAAGTCTTTTTCTTTTGCTCTAGTGAGTTTAGCTCATTTACATTCATTGAGATGAAAGATGTTGGTCTAAGTTTTGAAACTAATTTTCTATTTTGCTTTTGGTTTTTATACCTTAAATAGAAAATCTCTAGCTATGTGGTATGTTTACTTTGCTTTGGCCCAGTTATTTGTAAGAGGTTTATGTGAGAGTATAGAGGCAAGTCTTCCTACATTTAGGCTATCTAGAATTTTCCTTACGATCCAGGATTTAGTATGTTAGTTTGTTCAGCTTTTATCTTTCTCCAGCCAACAGGGTTAGGCAACTGTGTATAAAATTTTTCATAGTACAAAACTTTTCTCCCCTGCTGCCATAGAAACAGAATATTCTTTGTAAATAGGGCATTTCTGAGTGATTTCTCTTTAAGCCCTGCCTTTTCAGTTTCATTGTTGGAACCAAACTTAGGAGTTTCTGCCTGTAGCGTGTGTATCTTATTCTCACTGTAATAAACATGAGTTTTAGGCTTTGCACTTTGAGAAGTTTATCTTCCTACCTTTTAGTGAGATAAGCAGTTTTCCTTCTCTGCTTTTACTCTTTTGAGCCCTTGCATGATCTCCATTGTTTTGGAGAACACTTCCACATATTTTGAGGGTTGAGTTTTAGCTTATCTTAATTTTATCAGAAAAGGAATTTGTGTTTTTGTTTTTGTATCCTTGCTGTTTGGATGATTTCTACGAAGAGAAGGGGGAAATGGAGATTATGCCAGTATTCTCAAAGTAGGAGTCAATAGTAATATCTTTAATATCTTCACAAAACATGTTGCTGTATTTTCATAAATTATATTTAATTATTGGGAGAGCAACATCTTTGTTGGGATAAGTAGAACACATATTCCTGAAGTACTTTAATTCTTTTCCTAAATTTTATTTTAAAGAATTATGTAAAAGAATTTCATTTAATTTAGCCTTAAGGAATAACTAACTCTATTATATTCTACCTTTTCAAGTCTTGAAGGCTTGACACTTAGAAATGTGTATTATTTGATAGCTCATTTTCTCCACCAGTAGTTCTGATAAAAACCAAAAGAAGAATTTGTTGTGCACAAAGGGAAGTTAGTGAGTTTTATTGTGAAGTAAGGGAGTATATTTCCATTCGTGTACTTTTTACACTTCGAAAATTATATATGCTTTAAAAAAATATACCATTTAAGAAAATTTACTGATTTTCTTCAGAATTTTAGTCATTATCTCTGCAACTCCTTCTCTTGTGTTCTCAGTTTTCTTTCCCTATACTTTTTTTCCTAAATCATCTCTCTCAGCTTGCCACTGTTTCAGGGGGTTTGCAATGGGGAAATATTATGGGACTTTTCTACTGTTGTAGGATCATTTAGGGTTGTGAGCTGTATGTTTAACCTCTTTTCTCATCTCCCTTCCCTTGGTAAGGACAATGACCAGTGTCTTCTTTTTAGTGCTTAGATAGTTGTCCAAGTACCATGTAGGAATCTGGTACTGGTTATTTTGGTATTTTCATATCATAAAAATAAATCATCACCATGTAAAAACATGTAGGGGCTTCACTGGTGGCACAATGGTTAAGAACCCGCCTGCCAATGCAGGGGGCATGGGTTGGAGCCCTGGTCCAGGAAGATCCCACGTGCCAAGGAGCAACTAAGCCTGTGCGCCACAACTACTGAGCCTGCACTCTAGAACCCATGAGCCACAACTACTGAGCCCATGCACCACAACTACTGAAGCCCGTGTGCCTAGAGCCTGTCTTCCACAGCAAGAGGAGCCACTGCAATGAGAAGCCTGCGCACCACAACAAAGAGTAACCCCCGCTCACTGCAACTAGAGAAAGCCCGCGTGCAGCAACGAAGACCCAACGCAGCCAAAAATAAATAAATAAACAAACAAACAACCCCCAAAACATGTACAAGTTATCTATTGCTATGTAACAAGTTGCCCCAGAGCTTAGTAGCTTAAAACAACAAATGTTTATTCTCTCTCACAGTTCTTCAGGGACAGAATATGGGAGCAGCTTAGCTGATGATTCTGGCCCAGGGTCTTTTTTCATATATAAATTGCAGTTAAGCTATTGGCTGGGCCTATAGTCATCTCAAGGCTTACCTAAGGCTGGAGAATTTACTTCTAAGCTCACACATGCAGTTGTTGGCAGGCATCAGCTCCTCACTGGCTGTTTGCCAGAGACCTCGGTTCCTCACCAAATGGGCTTTTCTGTGGAGTTCCTTGAATGTCCTCATGTCATAGCAGCTTCTCTCAGAGCGAATAATCCAAGAGAGAGAAAGAAAGCAAGTGGAAGAAGAGGCCTGAGATGGAAACTGCATATTTTTATAACCTAATCTTGAAGTGACATGCTATTGGTCACACAGACCAACACTGTTGAGAGAGAACTACATAAAGTTATGAATACCAGGAGACAGGGTTCACTGGTGATGACCTTGCAGGCTAATTCCTAAGAATAGCAATGAAATATTTCAGAGTGAAGAACTAATTTTCATACCTATTATCTGAATTTGCATTTAGATACAATGTATTTCTTTTATAAAATGATGGATAATGTTTGTATACTTATTCGGCCATGCTCTATGGAGAAGGGATTTTTGTTTTATTTACATTGAATTTAAGAGATGACCTGGACAAGTTTGTGATTAGGATCATTCTTTGATTTTCTTTTAATTCTTTTAGTATCATTTGACGACTTACTAATGCAAGGCCTAAAGAATTACCTTCATAAAATCTTTGAAAGGCGATGTTTAGCTAAATTTACTTATCAGTTATTTACTTGATGGTAAGATTTTATTTTTTTCTCCAGATAGCTTATCCTATTTAGTAGAGAAGATCCCTCTAATATTAAATAACAGGGAAAGGGCTTCCCTGGTGGTGCAGTGGTTGAGAGTCCGCCTGCCGATACAGGGGACACGGGTTCGTGCCCTGGTCTGGGAAGATCCCACATGCTGCGGAGCGGCTGGGCCTGTGAGCCGTGGCTGCTGAGCCTGCGTGTCCGGAGCCTGTGCTTCGTGATGGGAGAGGCCACAACAGTGAGAGGCCCACGTACCGCAAAAAAAAAAAAAAAAAACCAGGGAAGGAGTAGCAACTTACATTTGTATAATGGTTTGGATTTGTAAAACATGTTTTTCCCTAACGTATGGGAATAGATAAAGTTTTAGAGTTGATGCTTACCTAGTAAGAAGGAATTTTTAAATTTGTTCTTAATCTTTTGGAGGATTCATAGACTCCTTTGAGAATGATGAGGGTAATGGTCTCTCCAGAGAAATGCACTTATGCACACAAAGGCAATTTCACAATTTGGAGGGACTCTCAGGAGGTCCATGGATTTTAGATTGAGAACTCCTTTGAAAGCACAGGTAAACTTCTGGTGGATTCTGAAAGAAAAGAGTGCTTTTTGATTTTCAAAATACAAAGGGATACAATGTCCCTAACTCTAATTGGAAATGTGTGTTTGTTTTCATTTTATGTGGCTTCTAATTCATGTATCCTAATGATGGTTTTTGTTTTTGAATTTTGCTTGTTCTGTAGCATCTGGAGCATAAGAACGGTGCTTATTTTCTTCTTTTCCAAGAGAACAGAAAGAAATAGTAAGTTTAATTTTGAAGTTTTTATAAATACATTAAAAAACCCATCTTATGGTACATTAGTTTGTAATTGAATAACAGGTTGTGAAATGGTATATTGAAATGACAACGTGGTAAATATTGAAGAGCTGTTTACTGTAAAGTATAAGAAAGGTTATGAATGATCAAACTGGTTCTGTTTTTCTGTTGTGTTATTTCTGTCTTGTCCATTTAGAATTTTTTTTTACACAATACACAAAACAATTCATTTCTTTAAATGAAGAGAAATTATATTTATTAAATTATCTGTATAGAAAACATGTTATTATGGAGTAAAATATAGTTAAACATCTTTTGATTTATTCTATTAATTGCATCATTCTCTTCAGGCTCACAGCCCCTAGGCTTTTGTTTTTATTGTATGTAAATACAATATGTATGTAAATTATGACAATTTTCCTGTATTCTGTGTATGTGCAGATTTTAAAGACATTCAGGTCTTAAAACTATGAGTTCTAATTAACCCAAGATATGCAAATTTCATTTTAAATGAACTTTACATGTGTTTTTTTTTCTTGTTTTAACTTTTCATTATTGAATATTTCAAGCATATACAAAAGTAGACTGAATAGTATAATGAACACTCATATTACCTATCACACAACCTAAACAATCATCAACTCCTGGTCAATCTTATTTCATTTTTACCCCCACCCACTTCTCCATCTCTGTTATTTTGAAGTATATCCCAGATATATCTATCCATAATGTACTTAAAAAATGTGTAAACAATGTACATTATTATACTTAAAAAAGAATTCTTAAAATTATAGAATATTAAATATAAAAATAATAAATTTCCAGTTATCTTACAAATGTCATTTGCTTTAAAAAATATTTTGTTTGTTTGACTTAGGATCCAAGCAAGGTTCACACAGATACATGACTTTCAAACTGCCCTCCTCATGTATAACTTATCTTTGACCCAGTTAAGGTTCTGTGATCTAGACCAATGACCATCCCTTTTAGACACCCTTGACTCCTTTGCCTCTCTTTCCCATTCTGCTTGTCTGGCAAACCATACCTTGTTTAAATACAGTTATATGCTTAATCTGTGACTGGAGAAACCATATCCTGGTTAAAGACATTTATGTGCTTAGTCTATATGTGCATCAGGAAAACTAAATTTGTTAGAGGAAAATCATACAACATGCTGACTAGACTCACTTTAAATCTATGATTGCAAATACCAAATGTACACTCAACACTGCTACAAAACCCTATTATAGTTCCCTAGTAAATTTACTTTTTTCTCTTTGAGAGTATTATTTGACACTGTATTTCTCCTCAAATCACTACTACCCACCACCATACCAAAACCCCAAAACCAAAACCAAACCAAACCAAAATAAAACCAACCAACCAAATCAAAATTCAGAAGCCACAAATAAACAAAACTTCACAAAATCTACCTGGCCACTCTGACCTGATAGTCTCACTTCATGAAGAAAATAGATGTAAGCAGGTGAGCGCTATCTTCACCACCAAAAACATAGAGTTAGCCCCATCTGTTACTCAGTATGCTGTCATCCATCATGGTAATTTGGAAGACTGACCTTGATCCCATCTCTGGCTAAGCCTTTCATTTATGCTCTGGATTCTAGATACTCTGACCATTTCATGAACTTTGCTCTTATAGTTATCCCTACCTGCATCTCTTTTGCATTATCTATTTGTATTGGCTTGTCCCTATTTGGCATATAATCCTGTCTCAATACAATCATCTGGGGGAAAAATCCCATCCTGACTCCGTATTCCCTTTAATTTACAATGCATTTCTCCCTCCCCTTCAAAGTTCTCTCATTTTTACCTCCAAAATTATCTTGAAAATGACCACTTATAACTTTCTTTACTACTACTACAATTCTAATTCAGGTCATCATCATCTGTTGCTGGCACTATTGCAGTGGTTTCCTAACTAGTCTATTTTTAAGGTATAAATCAGGTCTTGTATCTCTCCTACTTAAATTCTTCTAGTGGCTTCCCATTGCAACCAGAGTAAAATCTGACCTTAACCCCAACTTTCTGGCTTATGTCTACTTCTCTAACTTCATCTCTTTCCCCTCTCCTTTTTTCACCTTTGCTCCAGCCACACTAGCCATCTTTTTGTCCTACAAATAAGGTTAAGTCCTCTAAACCTCAGTTTGCTAGTTTATAAACTAGAAACAAATATTTGTTTTGGCAAGACTGTTATGAGTTTTAACTGATAATATTATGTGTGAAAGCATATAAAAATTGTAAAGTGTTACAGACATGTGGGCTGATGGTACTGATTTTTCTTTTCCAATTCCTATTATTTTTTGTTTTTCTTGCCTTTAAAATTTTACTTGCCTTGTTTAATGGGTTAGGACCCAGTATAATATTGAGTTGAAGTGGGAATAGCAGGTGTCTTTGTCTAGCACCTGATTTTGGTGCAAAAGCTTTTAATTTTTACCATCAAGTATGATGTTTGCTGTGGTTTTAAAAAATATTGATACTTTTAATCAGATTAGAGAAATTAAGCTTATGGCATTGTTTCCAGTGATATTTAGTAATATAGTAGATGCTGGGAAGACAGGAAGAAGTTTAAAACAAATATGATCTTGGACCTCATGGAACCAACAAAATAGTGAAAAATATAAGAAAATTTATTTTAAAAGAGCCCTTGGAAACACTTCTCTAAGGAAAATGTGTGAATATTTTGACTTGCAAGTAGGCACATTAGGACATGCTTATTATATAAAGGAGATTTTTGCTTTAAATTTTTATTTTACAGATCCTTTCATTAAAAAAAATTGTACGAATTCATTTGCATAGGTATTGCATGTAGATAAAATAGACTTCATAAGAGATTGTCTTGCAGTTTTATACTTCTTTTTAGCATAAAGTTAGGTACCATATATATTTATGTGTGTGTATATATATATGTACATATATATATTTTTTAAGTCTGAAGCTACTGATCATGTCTTGCTTTTTGTTCTGTTAGTTGTATTTCCTTTGTTTTACAAGTTGAACCTAGTATAGATTCAAGTAAGGATTGGCAAACTACAGCCTGTGAGCCAAGTCCTGCCCACCACCTTGTACATCTCATGAGCTAACTAACAATGGTTTTTACATTTTTAAATTATTGAAAAAATTCAAAGAGTAATATTTTGTGACATGTTAAATTTGAATGAAGTTCAAATTTCTGTTTTATTGGAACACAGCCACGTCCATTCATTTATATGTTATCTGTAGCTGCTTTCATTCAATGATGGCAGAATTGAGTAGTTGTGACAGACTGTATGGTGCTCTCAACATTTCAGCCTATGGTAGGATGCACAACAAATCACAGTGACACTGTTATAACTTGACAGCATTTCACGTGCCATGTATATTGCTGTATTGTGACTATTTTATTTATTATTACCAGTGTACACTCATTATGTAAAAACAAGAAGAGAAAATTGGACTTTGAATGTTGCACTTTTTTTTTTTTTTTTTTTTTTTTACGGTACGCGGGCCTCTCACTGTTGTGGCCTCTCCTGTTGCAGAGCACAGGCTCCGGGTGCGCAGGCTCAGCGGCCATGGCTCACGGACCTAGCCGCTCCGCGGCATGTGGGATCTTCCCGGACCGGGGCACGAACCCGTGTCCCCTGCATCGGCAGGCGGACTCTCAACCACTGTGCCACCAGGGAAGCCCTGAATGTTGCACTTTTAAGGCACAATGGATTGTGGACTATTTTATTATCAAAACACAAAGCATTGTGCTTATTATGCAATGCCATTATAAATGTACTAAAAGAATACAAATATACATTGACTATCATGCTACGTACTCATCATGATACTCCCAATGCACAGAAAAGCAATGTTAGAAAAATTAGAACTTTTGTTTTTTTTTTTGTTTTTTTGCGGTACACGGGCCTCTCACTGCTGTGGCCTCTCCCGTTGCGGAGCACAGCTCCGGACGCGCAGGCTCAGCGGCCATGGCTCACGGGCCCAGCCGCTCCGCGGCATGTGGGATCCTCCTGGACCGGGGCACCAACCCGTGTCCCCTGCATCGTCAGGCGCCACCAGGGAAGTCCTTAGAACATTTTAAATGGAATATCTCATCATAGCAGAATTTCTTCATAAAAATAAAAAGTGAAAATGGAACTTAAAAGTAAGTTTCTGAGTGGCTTATTTGTGAAGCAAAGAAAGCTATTTACCAATGGTGAGTTAATTAAATTGTGTAATTGCAGCAGCTGAAAAAATGTGTTTAGAGAAAATACTTGCTTGGCTAGTAGCCTTTTTAGCAAGAACAATTGCTTGAAGAATTAAGAACACTGGAAGCAACATAATTAACTTAAAAACAAGATCATTTAAAAAAAATTATTTCAAGTGATTGTCATTGGCTCTTTTTTTTGGTTTTTTGGCCATGCTGCGAGGCTTACAGGATCTTAGTTCCCTGACCAGGGCTTGAACACGGGCCATCACAGTGAAAGTGCCGAGTCCTAACCACTGGAGTGCCAGGGAATTCCCTGTCATTGACTCTTGATGAGTTGACAGATGTTACTGATACAGCTCAATTGTAATTTATTTCAGAAGTCAGTACTGAACTTGAAATGACTAAAGAATTAGCCTCTGTCAACAGTCTGTGTAGAACACTCTGGGAGAGAATATTTTTAAAGAAGTTGAAAAAACACTAATTTAGTACAACCTGAAGTGGAATCTACTGAGATGTATTTACAACTATTGGTGGTAAAAATATGTGTGAAGCAGAAAGAGGCTTAGTGGATTAATTTACAAAGCTCATGAAACTGTAAGGTGTTTAAATTCTGTGGTTATCCACTGTGTTATTCAACAGCAATGGACTTAATCATCATCAATTATGTGAACTTTTATCAGAAATACAAGCAGTTGGATGGATTAGTAGTAGTAGTAAACTTTTATTGTGATGTTTTGAGCTCAGAGCCAAGACTAAAATGTTTCTGAATGAGAAGAACCACCTTCAACCATTATGAATGAACTGCTTTGGAAATTAGATTTTGCTGCAGACTTGATAATGGTTCTTAATGAATTCAACCTAAGAGTACGAGACAAGACAGTCTTTATATGTGAAACCTATACTGCTATAAAGTGATTTAGAAAAGCAAATAACAATTTGCTTTTGATGACGAAAGGTAATTTTTTAAAAAGTGCTATGAGAAGTTAAGAAACAACATCTCCATTCCCACCCCGATTTGCAGCAGATACATTATCTGAGCTCAAACTGCGATTCCAGCAGTGTTTTTCAGACCTCATGCAAGTACAAAGGAAATTTCCGTATTTCAAAATCCATTTAACTGGAAGTGATTAATTTGCAATGACATGATAAAAGGCAAACATCAAGAGAAGAATCTAAAGAATTTTATAAATGCCTTTCACACAATGAATATGCTCAATTGAAATCATGTGATTGTGGATTGATTTCAATATTTAGCAGCACCTATCTGTGAAAAAAATTTTTCAGAAATAAAATGTGTGAAATCTCATTACAGATAAACTAACAGATTGACATTTGTGATCAATTTTGAGGATGGGGGACACTAATTTTGAATCTCAAGTGAAATGTTATCCCCCACCTACCCCTCCAGATTCCATTCCTTTTATTGGTAGACCTATGTTACAAAAAATTGAACTCAATTATTATAATATTTGAATTATGTCAATGAAAGTTTTGTGGAAATTTGTTTACTCCTTTAAAAGTGCTCACCTAATTTTGCCTTTTGGCCCATAAAGCCTAAAATATTTACTATCTGGCCCTTTATAGAAAAAGTTTGCTGATCTCTGCATTAAAGGTTAGATATTTGGCTTGGTCTTATCTAACTAAAGATGACTATTCTCTTTAAAGAGGTCAGCAGTTTTTTTCCCCTTTCAGTAATAAGTCTGCTAGAACACTTTGAAAAAAATATATAGTAAAATCATCTTTTCATAAGTTTGTATTTCTTTGGATTTTTACGTAAATAGTACTTTTGAATTGGGTATTCAGATGTTTGCTACTCCAGAACTTCAATGAAAAGATAATTTTATTTGTAAATTTAATTAAACATTAAGAACAATTATTTGAATTCTATTTGGTAAAATGTTTAAATCAAGTTATAAGTCTTTGCATCTGGAATAGTATTCTTATTTATACTAGTTCAGTATTTCTAGAGAAAAACTAGAAATCTAAAATAAATGTGTAAAGCAGATATTGACATTCATAAATTATATCATTTGAAATGATTCTTTATGTTCTACCAATGCAACCTAACTAAACAGGCAAATCTTGGAAAAGTTTAATTTTGAAAAGTAATTAGTATCCTCTTCCTTTCCAAGTCCCTCTTCAGGTATATAATACTATAGATTTTCAAAGGTTTCTTTATTAGTGCTCAATATCTTGAAGATCAAATAACTTAATAAAATATGTACTTCTTTATTCATAAATAAAGAGAACATTTTTATTACCAATGTATAAAAAAATAATTGGTTTTAATTTTGTAAATTAATGTGGGTGGGATGTTGAAGGAGAAATAATAAAAAGTAATATTTCTGAAAACATTTAAAAAATATGTATCTTTTAAAATTTGGAAACGTGTTTTATTCTATGTAAAGTCCATTTTTCCACTCCTGAGCTTGTAATATCTAATATAAGCAAACATATAAAATATATATGGGTAAAAATTGAGATGACTTCTGTCTGTACACATCTGTGAGAAATTCTAAAATGAGACTGTTTTCTTGCAGTTGCTTAATGTATATCATTTGACATGATTTTTTTTCTTGTATCTTAATATCTGATTTAGTTTTGGTTTAAATCTTGTTTTCTAGATGAAGCATTGGATGATTTAAAATCCCAGAAGAAAAAAATAGTAAGTTAACTTTTATTTAAGTTAATTTATATAAAACTAATAAATTCAGAACTGAATAATTAATGGTTTATATGTTGTAAGTAATGACTCTCCAAGGAACAAGTATGTTTTTAGATAACAGTTTAATGGTGAAGCTAAGCTATGAATATTTTTGCTAGTTAATAATGATCGACAGGAAAAAGTAGTTAGATGAACTTTTGAGAGTCTGAGTGCCTATGTCAGTTGGAAGCTGAGAAGTAAGTAAATGAATCATTTTGGAGGACTAAATGAGGCAGAGTGGTAAAAAGTGGGTATCCAGATTTATTATTAGGGCCAAAAAAACACCAAACATCATATGTCAGTTCTCAGATTTTCTTGACATAATAAAGCGAGGAGAGAGGGAATCAAGAAGATTGGTTGTAAAAAACAAATTTAACATGCAGAAAAAAAAAAGGGCCAAAGAAAACTGGGGAGAGAGAAAGAGAGTATTTTTTCTTTGGTTTCTTTCATTTTCTATCAGCAGTTCTGATCACATGGGTGTCTGTTGTGGGGCCAGTTAAATGCATCCTTCAGATGGGTTGGAAAGAGGAGGATCAAGAGAGAGGAAGGACTCTAGATGTTTAGAGGTTGATATGTAATAGTTTTTTGGGGTTTTTTTTGCGGTACGTGGGCCTCTCACTGTTGTGGCCTCTCCCGTTGCGGAGCACAGGCTCCGGACGGGCAGGCTCAGCGGCCATGGCTCACGGGCCCAGCCGCTCCATGGCATGTGGGATCTTCCCGGACCGGGGCACGAACCCATGTCCCCAGCATCGGCAGACGGACTCCCAACCACTGCACCACCAGGGAAGCCCTGTAATAGTTTTTAATAAGTGGGTTGAACTTGGTGTTTGGCTTGAATTTACATATACTTTTTTCATGTAATTATTTTTGAAGTATAAAAATGATAATTGATAGGAGTATCATGTTATATGGAAACTTAATGAAATTTGATCAGATGCAAAATCAATTTAATGTATTTTAGTCTGACATAATGAGTAACAATTATGGATGAAACTAATAAAAATTATGAAGGTTAAGATTAATGTTAAAAATTGTTCTGTGAATTGGTAAGAAAAGACACGGTCCTGAGGGATTTAAGTACCTGAAAAATAAAGAAACCTTAGTTCTGAAAGGATTCCTTATCTTTTTTATTTGATGCCTCTTCAGTATTCTGTGAGGTATTTATCAAAATTGCATTGAGGGCTTCCCTGGTGGCGCAGTGGTTGAGAGTCTGCCGTTGCAGAGGACATGGGTTCGTGCCCCGGTCCAGGAAGATCCCACATGCTGTGGAGCAGCTAGGCCTGTGAGCCATGGCCGCTGGGCTTGTGCGTCTGGAGCCTGTGTTCCGCAATGGGAGAGGCCACAACAGTGAGAGGCCCGCGTACCGCAAAAAAAAAAAAAAAAAATCGCATTGATATTTTTGATGGTCCTAAATTGAAACGTAGAAATGTTTCCATTGTATCTTATTATATTTCTGGCATTCTACACATTATGGAACAGCCAGAAATTCAAAGTGAGGAAATACTGATGGTTCTCAATAATATAGAAGTTGTGATATGATTGGTTTGGTTTGCTGATGTGATAAAAATAGAAGAGCTGGTAGCCAAGCCTCACTTGTTGTACCAAAATGGAGAAATATTGATTAAAGTAGATAAGACAAGGAGGAAGACAAAAGAAAAAAGAGAGAGAAAAAAAGGAGAAAATAAAAAAATTCTAAGTGATGAGAAGCTGATTCAATGTCAGTGGCATCACATGAACAGAAAACAGAATCTTAGAGAACATATGATTGGTGAAGAACTCTCAGTAGAGTAACAGAACAGACTTAGAAAATTCTTTGACAGGACAAACCAAGCTATTTACTTCTTTAATAGCCCTTGATGGAATCACAACATAAACGCTGCTCCATCTAGGTCTGACAGTTGGGAAACTCAGTTCAAGGTTCAATAGTTTTGTATATCTAAATGGTTCATGAGACATCAATATTACAGAATACTTCAGTATGGCATTTCTCTTGCAATGTATAATTAAAGAAAAATAAGTTGGCTGCTTTAACTCATTTTGTTAATTAGGGAACACAATTTGCATTGACTTGATTGTTTCTGGTTTCAGTACTGTTGCTGTTGGGAACTAGTCCCTTGCCTTTATTGCTCAAGCCCTTAACAGAGCTGCTTTGTTTGCGTTATACTTTGTTTAGAACAATAGGTGTTAAGGGTGAATTTGTAAGGAGTACAATGCTAGCTAATGATTGTACTGGTAATGAGAGGAAAAAGAAGGGACATTACTTTTGAGCAAAAGCAAAATGTAATCAAAACTGATTTTGTTCCTTGATGTTTAACTCTACATTTATAGCTTTAAAAATGATGGCAGGAAGAATAGCCATTAGTTTAAAAGTACCCAACTCCTAACCCTTCTCTTTCACTAAAAAAATGAATGTAAATTGTATTTACTACTTGAGGTGTCATTAAAGGTGGTTTCCTCAGGGATGCCTCTCTTTAATCTGGATAGATTTGTAATGTAATTTGTAATTTGTCAAAGTGTAATTTGTAACAATAAACATGAATTATCAATTAATTAAAAAGTTAAATTACTTAGAAAGGAAAATGAGTGACAATGTTTTAAATGTTTTAAAACAATGTTTTAAATCTAAGAACTTAATGTAAGTATTTACTTACTAAAATAAAGCTAGGAATTAATCTTTAGTTACCTAAAAAACCTCCCAAGTCTGGTTGTGTACATTTTGCCACTCACATTTTTTTTTTTTAACTTTTAGTTTAAAACATGTCACTATTCAATAGATAATCGCTTTGTATCCATGAGCATCCCATCAAAACAGTTCAAAATCAAAATCCATCAAAACTCGAGTCAAAATGACCTCTTTAAGTGGCTTCATGAAAATGCTGTGCTTTTTTCAGAATAGTACAGGTGTTTCTCTGTGGTAATTCCTTTCTGGCATTTCTCAGGCAATTTATATTTTTCCAAGTCCTGAGGAAAATTGGTTGAGAAATTGGGAACCTGGGAAAGAATTATTATAATTCTCTGAGAATTAAAACTTAACAATCACTACAAATGTTACTGGTTCAAAAGAATACACTAGTGTCAGTAGAAAGCAAGAGCAAGAAATGCTGACATGCTGAGCTGTAGGTTAATGTGCACATTTTAGGCAACAGGACAGGAGCACATAGAGGAGAAGTGGCACAATCTAATTAGTCAGTCTTGCTTTTGTGGCCGTAAGTCTGTTTTATGGGCCCTGTCTCTTATTAATGGTGACTTATTCTTACAAATAAATGTTAATAAGTTTATATATATAGAATACTGTATACAAAATCCTGTGAGTGATATTCCATGAAATAAATTTTGGAAGCAAAATAAGTCCTTAAATTGGCAATTTTAGCATGTGATTCTGTGTGGGGCTGTTAACCTCACTAGAAGTTTCATGTTACATTTTTATATTACCCAGTAATATCTGCTGGTGTTTTCCAGTGTTTGAATACTCACTGTAGGCTACAGATCTTTGTAAATACTTTAACAGAAGAAATGCTGAGAGAGATGTTATTGTTATTGTAGAATACTCCTATGTAAAGTCAGAAAATGATTTAAAATCTGAATTAGTAAAAAAATATTGATTTCAATAGCAAAACAAAATCAGGATAAGCAGACAGTATTTTCATCATTTTAAAAATATGAGTTTAAATAATGCAACATGTACCCTAAAGCTGTGAATTGAAGATTCTTTTAATAATTTGACCAAAGTCAGCACAAAACACAAGACATTTTTCTACATCTGGAATATTTGTTATGAAACAAGGATCAAGAGTATTGGATAGGGCTTCCCTGGTGGCACAGTGGTTGAGAGTCTGCCTGCCGATGCAGGGGACGTGGGTTTGTGCCCCGGTCTGGGAAGATCCCACATGCCGCGGAGCGGCTGGGCCCGTGAGCCATGGCCGCTGAGCCTGCGCGTCCGGAGCCTGTGCTCCACAATGGGAGAGGCCACAGCAGTGAGGGGCCCGCGTACTGCAAAAAAAAAAAAAAAAAAAAAAAAAGTATTGGATAGGGCAATTAATGCTTTGTGTGTTTTAAAATTTTATTTCAAGAGTTATAATTTAAATATTGTATAATTATCTTTCAAAATTAAAAAAATTGATGTTTATTTTGTGTTAGTGTTCCCTTCTTTTAGTATTCTCTGTGATGAAATTCTATATCAGGTAGAAATAATTTTTATATGTTCTCAAAATATATAATCTTGCCAAAATAATGTTGATTCATAATAAATAAGCAACCATGTGTTTATTATTCTTTTTTATTTTTATTTCTTTAATTTATTTATTTTATTTTTAAAATTTTGGCTGTGTTGGGTGTTCATTGCTGCACGCTAGCTTTCTCTAGTTGCGGCGAGCAGGGGCTACTCTTGTGGTGCGCGGGCTTCTCGTTGCGGTGGCTTCTCTTGTTGCAGAGCACGGGCTCTAGGCGCACGGGCTTCAGTTGTTGCAGCACACAGGCTCAGTAGTTATGGCGCACAGGCTTAGTTGCTCTGTGGCATGTGGAATCTTCCCGGACCAGGGCTCGAACCCGTGTCCCCTGCATTGGCAGGTGGGTTCTTAACCACTGCACCACTAGGGAAGTCCCTATTATTCTCTTTTTTAAATAAAAAACTTTTAAACTTTTAGTATACTCATATCACAGAAAAATAATTCACTCTTTGTTACATCATTCATTATTATTTGAAATATGTAAAATATTAGGAAGAATACAGAGTAATTTGTAATTTAGGGAATTCTGAGAATTCAATTTCTCATTCCTGAATCCTGATATTAATACGGTGGGTATTTGAAAACACTGCTTGTTTCAGATCCACTCTGAATAACTGAGGTATCATTGAAGATTATGCGTTTTTGTGTTAGGTACTGTTATAGACTCTCCTACGTTATTTAAATTGCATAACAGTGCTACAAGAAAGTGTTAATGTTTATGCTCTACAAAAGGAGAAACTGAGACTAACAGACCTGCTCAGTCTTTCTACAGCTAATTAACAATGGAGATGTACTTTGAACCCAGATCTTTTCTGATGTCATGGTTTCAAGTTTGTATTCTTCCCACTGATCAGATGTCTCCCTATTTATAAAACAAATTATTCACTTAAAATGTAGTAGGAATATATGTGTTAATTAAGCTATTACGTGAAAAAAGAATTTTTCAAAGTAAATGCAAAAGAAAAAGAGAATGGATTTGTATCTTTTGCTTTTTAAAATGTTTTTATTTAAGATACTTTACATGTACATAGACATAAACGTGAATACTTGCTGAATGATGTACTAGGAATGGCAATCGTTTAATAAAATGGCATTTCAGTTTTGACTTTTGTGTATTGTTTTAAAGATCACAGTTGTATCTAATCTTCTTTTTAAACCTACCAATAGTCTTACTCTAGAATTGTGCTGTACAAGTCAGTAGCCACTAGACCCATGTAGCTTTTAAAGTTTACATTATTTAAAGTGGAATAAAAGTAGCTACAGTTGGGTTCCTCAGTTGCACAAGCAATATTTTAAGGGATCATTTATCATATATGGCATTGTAGCTACTCTATTGTGCAGATATAAACCACTTCCATCATTACATGTAGTTCTATTTTTACAGCACTGGTCTGGACCATCAAAAATTAATTTGTAGAGATCAGGGATTCAGTTCTTTGCTGTTTCATGTAGATTATGTTGATTTGGGGATAGATTCTATCATGCCCTCTCTCTGTCCCCATCCCAAGTTTTTCCCCAACCCTAAAGTAGTAATGTTACAAACATTTTCTTTACATCAGAAATTTAAACTTGCTTGTTTGAGAATTTATCATAATTTTGAAATAATTAGAAAAATATTTTAGTTTCACTAAACCAAGGTTAGTAAATCATTCATCTAAGCACTTCTTAAGTGTTATATTGAGATTTTAATGAGGAATCTATTAACTATTGTGGCAGCATATTTTAAATTGTATTTTAATTTGGTAAATGTTCTCTGCTTTGCATTTTAAAATAAATGTCCTTTGGAATAAACATGACATTTAATGAATCTAAGTGGCTCTCAGTGGTCACTGAGAAGGAGAAGGTCCTCTTCCAAGTTTTGCAAAAGCATTTTTATTCTATATATTAGCTATTTGTCACAACTATGACTGTCTTGTACTAAAGTTAAACTTTTTCTGATATTGGGCTGTAACTGCTAAAATGATACTTTACTAGTGATTACTTTTTAAATTAAACCCACATATTAAGCCATAAAGTGACTTGAGTGCATTGTAAATAAAATTCTATAATAATGAAGTGCTTTAATTACAGTCCCTAGTGTGAGCATAGAACTCAGTAAAATCTTTACTTAAATTCTTATTATGTTCAGTTTTTCCCTCTAAAGTTGTTTGAATCTAAGTAAAAAATGGGGAGCTTCAGCTTTTAAAGTCATTTGAGCAAATTCCGTGAGAGAGCATGGCTGTTCTCCCAGTTAAGTGAGTTTTCACTGCATTTTGCAGCAAGCTAATTGCTTCTGCTAATAAATAATCTAAAATCGATGCTGACAGCAGCTAATTGGCACAGAGATTTTATTTTGTAAAGCTCTTGGCTAACGACCTTCTTTAAATTAATAGCATTAAGTGCTAGGAGGAAATAAATCTGAGGAATTGCCTGTCATTTGCTTGTCATGTCTAATAACTTCCAATAATGATGGCTGATAGATTTTTGCACATTCCATTATTGAAGTTGGTGCATGTAATTATTCTCCTCATTATATGTAAACAATTAGCAATATTTGGTATTTCCTTGCAGTAAAGCTGTTAAATACAAGTAACATATTAGAGGTTAGAAGCCATTTTAAAATCTGGATTTTAATTATTTGAATGTGGAAGTCTTTCGTGCTATCTGGGTATATTATGTGCTGTTTATTTTAAGCCTTGCAGTTGAATACTTTTTGAATAGGACTTATAAAAGCAAGTCGTGTATGTGTGTTTTAAAATGTGACAACTTGTGGAAATTTTTGTTTGCAGCTTGAAGAAGTCATGGAAAAAGAAACTTATAAAACAGCTAAATTAATTCTTGAAAGGTTTGATCCAGACTCAAAGAAAGCAAAGGTAAGGCTGTAATAGCACTACTATTTTATTTTAAATCGCACATTGTAGTAGGTCACTGTAATAACATTATTGTATTTGACAGGAGTTGGAGCCGCCATCTGCTGGAGCAACTATAACTGCAAGACCTGGACAAGGTAAATAACTTTGTAGAAACTCCTGCTGCTGTTGGAAAGATCCATATTTATCCAAGTGAGTTCAAAAGTGTGATAGAGGTGTGAAAAACTTATGTAGGATGCTTTTATGTTAATTTGTATTTGGTAATTTGGGATATGACTTAAAATAGATGGCAATAAGTTTATTTCATTTTGATTTTATAAAAATATGTTGATGAGTAAAGATGTTATTATCTTTTGAGATTAAATATATAATTAGTTTTAATCTTTTGAAATTTAAGTGATTTCACCAATATTTTGTAAGGTTTTTTTCCCCCCTTTAAATAAGAGTCTCCTGGAATATCTGCTATTATGAAAATTCTTACATTTTTATGATTTATTTTTTGAGGAATTTAATGAAGATTTTTGTCAAACTTGAGTTCCTTCTAAAGTAACACTGTTAGAAAGAAAAAAAATGTAATTTAGAAATGAGAAAAAAAATTGAATTACTGCTATATAATAACATTAACTCTTTCTTTTTGAGGTTATATTGCCAGATTACTATTATGTTATTATTTTAAGTGGTTACATAAAGTATGCCCAAGACTGGCATGTGAAAAGATATTTTTGAGTTTGCATTGGCTTCCTTTTTTGTTCTCTTCTCTAGAGTATAATAAAATAACAGGCATACCTCAGATATTGCAGGTTTGGTTCCAGACCACCCCAATAAAGTGAATATCGCAATAAAGTGAGTCACACACACTTTTTGGTTTCCCAGTGTGTATTAAAGTTATGTTTACACTATACTGTAGTCTATTAAGTGTGTAATAGCATTATGTCTAAAAAAATGTACATACCTTAATTAAAAAATACTTTATTGCTAAAAAGTGCTAACCATCATCTGACAATGCAGGGTTGCCATAAACCTTCAATTTGTAAAATTCATTTTGTGAAAAAACTAAGTATTCCCAAAGTACAATAAAATGAAGCAAATAAAACGAGGTATGCCTGTAGTTTGTAAGGCTTTTGTTGCTATATGGAATATACTTACAAAAATTTAACTTCTACTCTTATAAATCATCAGAATTGGAGCCTGGTTTATAAAGTTAGGGTGACATTTAGAACTTCGAGAAGTCAGTTCTTTTATAAATATCCACAAAGACCATGGGTACTAAATAAGCCATAATAGTTTTAGGTATTCTAATTGGCGGAGGTATGTGGGAAGAATCCCACTGTTTCCCATCTTTTATAAGTAGGATTCTGGTTTATAGAAATATTAGCCTGCTCTTTTGATAAATGTAAAAGTCTATCAAAAGTTATGTAAAAGTTTAAATATGATTAAAATAAATTAGTCGTAGAGAATTCCCTGGAGGTCCAGTGATTAGGACTCTGCCCTTCCAACTGCACGGGGTGCGAATTCAACCCCTGGTCAGAGAACTAAGATCCCACAAGCCACGCTGTGCTTCCAAAAAAAATAAAATTAGTCATAGATACTTGCAGTGTAACACCTACTTTCATAATCAGTTTAAATTTTTCTATAATTTATACTTCTTACTAGTAATTATAAAAAATTTTTTTGGCCTGAAGGCCAGGTTACTATACTTTCTACTTGTATGACTGGTAGTAACTTTTTTGAATAACCTTAGTGAATATATTTTTAAAATGTGATATTTTGCAGAAAGCTGTTGCTGTTACTTTAACAAAAATCTGTTCTCTCTTATTAAAAAAGAACAGATGTATGATGCCCTTTATTGACATTCTTAAGCATTTATTAATATTAGGCAACATTAGTTCCTTTAAGAATCTAAACTTATCTTTCCTTAGAAACTTTTGAAGCCCCAATTTTTTTCTTCTGCTGTCATATTGTAACTATAGAAAAACCACTTCTGGTCTCTCTACTTTGGATTCCTGCAGCACTGCTTTTGGATATTCTTTTAGGGAGAATTAACATTTAGCTATAATATAAATGAATCATTCACTTCAAAGAATGTATTAAATAACTCTTATGTGTAGACATCATGGGGAATAAAGAGATGAATGTAATATGGTTTTTGACCTTAAGAAGCTTATAACCTATTTTTTAAAAATATTTCTTCTGGGGTACACTATTCTAGTATTCCTAACTTTTCTGGGTCTGTAAATATTAATTGCTATTTGGAATTTTTTTCCCTATTTAAAAAAATTCTAAACTGTATCTCAACTTTATTCTACTTTTTGAGAATTATAATTTAGTTCCTTGTTTAATTTGATCTTGTTATTATAGGTAAGTTCGTCATACATTTTATTTATGTTTAAGTTCTGTGTTTCTGTGAGTTTTAAATTGTCTTTATTTCTTTGCTTTGAACCATTGTTAGTCCGTCAGTCCCTCCCTCCCTTCTCTCCTTCCTTCCTTCCTTCCTCACTCCCTTTCTCCCCAACACCTTCTTCTCTCCCTCCCCCTTTCTTTCCTTTTTGTTTCTTTCACCTATTTCTGAACTTAAATAAAAGAAAAGGGAAAAAAATTCTAAAGGATGTATGTATGTACATATGTGGCTCTCCAAACTGAATCTAATTGTGGTGTCCTTATTTTACTAGCTCTCTTGCATGTTTTCTGAACCAGAACTTGGATTCATGTGTAGTAGATAGCTTTCTTTTATTTTTTATTATTTACATGTTAATGATATATATTGCACTAAGAATGATTATAAAATTTGAGAATAGTATTCTTTGATTTGCTTATGTTTAGCTCTAAAAGGAGTATAATATTTACTGAACATAATACTAACCTGACTGCCAGCCTCTCACGGCCACCCCACCCCCACCAATTTTTTATCTCTTGTTTTTCTTTATTTTTTAAAAACATTATTGAAGTATAGTTGACACACAATATTGGTTTCAGGTGTACAACATAGTGATTCAACATTTACATGCATTACAAAATGATCTCCACAATAAGTATAGTAACCATTTGTCACCATACAAAGTTATTACAATATTATTGACTATATTCCCCATGCTGTACACTATATTATATCCCCTTAACTTATTTTTTGTGTCACTGGAAGTTTGTACCTTTTAATCCCCTTCATCTATTTCACCCATTCCTCAACTCCCCTCCCCTCTGGCAGCTACCAGTTTGTTCTGTGTATCTGTGAGTCTGTTTCCGTTTTGTTTTGTTTTGGTTTTTGGATTCCACATATAAGTGAAATCATTTGGTTTTTGTCTTTCTTTGCCTGACTTATTTCACTTAGCAAAATACCCCCTAGGTCCATCTGTGTTGTTGCATATGGCAAGATTTCATTCTGTTTTATGGCTGAGTAATACTCCATTGTATACATGAATACATACCACATCTTCTTTACCTATCTATGGGTGGACACTTGCTATTGTAAATAATGCTGAAATGAACACAGGGGTGCATATATCTTTTCAAATTCGTATTTTTGTTTTCTTCAGATAGAAACCCAGGAGTGGAATTGCTGGATCTTCTGGTAGTTCTATTTTTATTATTTGAGCCAGCTCCATACTGTTTTCCATCGTGGCCGTACCAATTTACATTCCCACCAACAATGTATGAGGGTTCCTTTTTTCTCCTTGCCAACACTTGCTTTTTGTTGTCTTTTTGGTAATGGCCATTCTGACAGGTGTGAGGTGATATCTCACTGTGATTTTGTTTTGCATTTCCCTGATAGTTAGTGATATTGAGCATCTTTTCATGTGTCTGTTGGTTGTCTGTATGTCTTCTCTGGAAAAATGTCTATTCAAGTCCTCTGCCTATTGTTTAATCAGATTGCTTGGTTTTTTTGATATTGAGTTGTGTATGTTCTTTGGATATTTTGGATATTAACCCCTTATTCGATATATCATTTGCAAATATCTTTTCCCACTCAGTAGGTTGCCTTTGTGTTTTGTTGTTGGTTTCCTTCTCTGTGCAAAAGCTTTTTAGTTTGATTAGTCCCATTTGTTTATTCTTGCTTTTGTTTCTTTTGCCTGAGGAGATAGATTCAAAAAGACATTGCTAAGACTAATGTCAAGTGTTTATTGCCTATGTTTTCTTCTAGGGGTTTTATAGTTTCAGGTTTTGCACTTAAGACTTTAACCCATTTTGAGTTTATTTTTGTATATGGTATTTAATACTTTTGCATGTAGCTGTCCAATTTTCCCAACACTATTTATTGAAGAGACTATCTTTCTCCACTTTATATTTTTGCCTCCTTTGTCATAGATTAATTGACTATAAGCATGGGCTTATTTCTGGGCTGTGTTCTGTTCCATTGATCAATGTGACTGTTTTTGTGCTAGTACAATACTATTCTGATTACTATAGCTTTGTAGTATAGTTTGAACTCTGGGAGCACAGTAACTCTGGCTTTGTTCTTCTTTGGATATTTGGAGTCTTTTGTGGTTCCTACCAGTTTTAGGATTATTTGTTCTAGTTCTGTTAAAAACGCTGTTGGTATTTTGATACGGATTGCACTGAATTTGTAGATTGCTTTGGATAGTATGGACATTTTAACAGTATTAATTTTCAACCCATGATCATGGTATATCTTTCCATTTATTTGTGTCATTATCAATTTCTTTCATCAGTGTCTTATAGTTTTCAGAGTATAGGTCTTTCACCTTCTTGGTTAAATTTATTCCTAGCTATTTTATTCTTGTTGATGCAATTATAAATGGGATTGTTTTCTCTTTTTTTCCCCTTTATGCTAGTTATTAGTGAATAGAAATGAAACAGATTTCTGTATATTAATTTTGTATCCTTCAACTTTCCTGAATTCATTAATGAGTTCTAAAAGTTTTCTGGTGATGTCTTTAGGGTTTTGTATATACAATATCATGTTATCTGCAAATAGTGACAGTGACTTCTTCCTTTCCAATTTGGATGCTTTTTTCTTTATTTTTTTATAGAGCAAGTCAGTAGAGCAACTACTCCTAATCTCTTTATTTCTATTTATTATTTTTTTTGAACTTTATTTTATTTGTTTCTTTATACAGCAGGTTCTTATTAGCCATCAGTTTTATACACATCAGTGTATACATGTCAATCCCAATCTCCCAGT